TGGAATGTTCGGGTATTTCCTCGCAAAGCGTCCGTTAATGGCTGTAGTATTGCTGCGCAGTTTGGAATAAATCGCCTATAATAGTTTATTAGTCCCAAGAATCGTCGTAACTTTTTTTGTGACTCGGGCAACGGATAATTACGAATAGCAGCAACTTCTGCTGGAACTGGCATGATACCTCGAGAATTTATCATATGACCTAGGAATTGCAATGATTTCTTTCCAAATTCACATTTCTCCACGTTAATAGTGACACCATGTTCTTGAAGTCTCGTGAATAACTGTCGTAGATGTTGTAGATGTTCTTCCACAGTAGCGCTAGCTACTAATATATCGTCGATATATGCGTATACCCCTGTCAAACCTCTAACAACCTGATCAATAAATCGCTGAAAGGTTTGAGCTGCATTAGTTAGTCCAAATGGCATTCGTAAAAACTCAAATAAACCAAATGGAGTGATTACAGCCGTTTTCGGTATGTCTTCTGGGGCCACTGGAATGTGGTAGTACGCCCGAACAAGATCAATTTTCGAAAAAATCGTAGCACCTTCCATTTCGGTAGTGATGTCGTGAATATGTGGCACTGGGTATCTATCTGCTATCGTTTGCTTGTTAAGGGCTCTATAATCTCCACATGGTCTAATTTCTCCATTCTTTTTGAGAACCATATGTAACGGAGATGCCCAGGGACTATTAGATGGCCTTATGATACCAAGTTTCATTAGTTTTTCGAATTCTCGTTTCGCAATGTTTAACCTTTTTGGGTCCAACCTTCGCGCTCTTACTCTAGTCGGTGGACCTTTCGTGACGATATGGTGCTGTACTGTATGTTTAAGATCTTTGTTGTCGTATGATGACCTCGTTAAGTCGGCGAACTTATTTAGAAGTGACTTATATTGCTCGTTCCTATCTTTCGACACTACTAAATTCATAGATACATGATCAGTGGTCACTCCTCTTATGACTACTGAGCGTTCTCCATTCACTAGTTGGTTTCGTCGAGAATCTACTAATAGGTCAAAATTCTTTAAGAAATCGATACCAATTATGGGTACGGAAACATCAGCGATTACAAATTCCCAGCGAAGTGAAATATTACGGCCGAAATTCAAGGTTAGTTTTCGCTTGCCATATGTCTTTATATCGGATCTATTCGCTGCTTTAAGAGTTAGCGCAGTATCGATATTTTGTTTTTCGTTGCTCAATGGAGGGACGACGCTTATCTCTGCTCCCGTGTCTACTAAAAACTGCGCGCCCGTTACTCTGTCCTGAACATAGAATAAACGATTGCTCGTGGGAGCTGCGTTGATTTTCGTAGTCGTTACTGAGAATCGTTGGGATCGTTTAAATTTGCATGGAGACCTGCATTTTCGAGCTCTGTACCCAAATGTTTGATGGTACCAGCATATAGCAGGATCTGGTAGTCCCTTAGAAAATGATCGGTTTCTATCTCTTGATCTGCTGCGCGACCAACTTCTTTTCCTGTCGTTGTGATTTAGACTCGTTAGTTTATGGCATAGCGCATTAATTTCCTTTTGCAAGGCCTCGATTCTTTCGTCAACTGTGAAGTTGAGTGTTTGTGAAGTCGCATTTCTCATTCTATCGTAAATCTTATCGGCTATTTTAGCGATATTGTCTATGTCTACATCGCTATCTCCAACAGCGAGGATCTGCTGTACGTTCGGTGGGAGTCGTCGCAACCATAACTGGTAAAATATATTTTTATCCACATTTCTGTCTCCAATTACGTTGCTCATATACGTTTTTAACTGCGAAGGCGTTCTATCACCGATTTGAACTTCACTGAGCAACTGCTCGACAGCTTGCCGGTCGTTTAACGAGAGAGCTTTTATTACTGCCTGTTTCAATACATCGTACGGATTTACCGCATCCGGCTTAGTTAGGACCTCTCGTACCTTGACTACTACTTCATCTGGAAGTAGTGAGCTTGCATAGCCGAACTTATGTCGCTGTAAAATAATACGATTGGCTACGAAGTAATTTTCAAGTCTAATAAACCAGAGTTGAGGATCAGTAACATTAAAAGAGGGAATAGTAACATTAATAACTCCCACGGATGGTGACTGTGAAAGATCGATTGTTTCGTTATTTAAAGACATTACTAATAATAATAATAATGATAATAAATTAAATAGTATGCGAATATAACGTAATTGTCACTGAGAGAAATGAATCGATGAAAAAAAATGATAATAACAAAAGGTACAATTTATAAAATGGAACAGACTTACTAAATTGCACAAATATATCAATTGTTCGTGAATAATCGTTATTTATTATGAATATTATCGTTAAGTTCAATAATGCTTATGGGATGATGAACGTGCGATTAAAATTGTGATATAATAAATCCACAATTATGATTATAATCCAGATAATAATTCGAATAGAAACAGAGTACGTTGGATTTTCAAAATGAAATTATCTCGTCGAAAATTGTTTTGTGTTCGCTCGTCGAGGCATCCAATTCTGTAGTGTCGTGTTCGTATGGCGAGGCAACCAATTATATTGCGTCGTGCTCGTTCAGCGAGATATCCAATTCTATTGCATCGTGCTTGTTCGGCGAGGTATCCAATTCTATTGCGTCGTGCTTGTTCGGCGAGGCCTCCAATTCTGTAGTGCCGCGATTCGTTAACCGTTTACTTCGATAACCGTTATAATTCTAAACTTAACGGTGCGTAAAATCAGAAGACAAAGGATAGCAGCAACTACAGTTTATTGTCGAATGACTCAGGTTCGAAAGCTAACAACACCTGAGCGAATATGAACGAGCGAGTGAACAGGCAAACAAGCGAAGGAAACGAACGAGGAGCAAGCGAGCGAGCGAGAGAGTAGCAAGCAATTACATAGGCAATTTATAGTCAAATTTAATAAGGGCACAGCAAAGCAAAACAAAGGCTGATAATAATATTTGTGTGCGTACATATATGGGTAGGAGTATGAGTCATCGAATGATATTTAAGCAGTCAACATTTCGGCTAGAGTGTCATGTGCTCTAGTGTTATTGCAGTGCAAAGAATATGCAAATTGTTACTATCCAAATGACAATGTCTGTTAAGTAAGTTATAAAAAAGGGCTTAACCAAAATTGGCTATAATCGAAATTGATTGTAGGATGGTTGCTATAAGATATCCATTTTGTCAACTCAAAGTATATTCTCATTTAGATTTAGTTCATGTTATAAGAAAACCATCATGTTGCGTCTACTCTATTCAACTCTAATGATTGTATGAATCTTAGTGACCAAATTCGCAACATTATAATGTTTAGATCAACTAACTCGTATAAATCATGTAACAACTGTAGACAGTTTATATAGATCTTACTTCGTTATCACTTGACTAAAGAGAAAAAATGTTAACCATTAAGTACAACCCATTGTATCACTGTTTTTCTACTTAGCACAATATTTAAAGATACCTATTTAAATACTCATAGAGTTAAGAGTATGATAAGGATTTTTCAATGTTTGATAGAAATCATCTTTGAAATGTATAATTCTTATTCATGAACTATTTAACTGAATAGTTTACTAAAGAATTATGCAAAATGTTCCAGGATTAATGTGTTACAGAATGAAATCTAATGATTGTAACAATAAATTTTAATAAATTGTCCAATTAGATTTAATGTTAACCATAACAGACTACTTTTTTTTTGTTTTTTCTTCACCGACATTGAAAAGTCTTCCGAGAATAATAAGTTAAGAATGAAAAATAATTTTTTTTTTGATTTTTCAAAACATCAATAAATTATGTAAAAAAATATTTTTGGCAAAATAAAGTGATGGAATAGTTAATTCATGTTATTAAGGTAACACTTAGACCTTTGTGATGATCTTTTAAAATACCATTTATATGATATATATATGCCAATAAGAGGCTGACCAGTTGCAAACCTAAATATCGATTGGAAGATTCAAATAAGTAATACTAAATGAATTTAAACTTCACCATATTGCACAAGCGAGTGGCTATCAGGACTCAGTAGCTGAGTGGATAACGCGAAGATGTTTGAAGTGAAAGGTACTGAGTTCAAGTCCCAGAGTGAACATCAACTCTGAGATGCATGTACATCCAGTTGACGAGTCTCGAATAGGACGAAGAGTGTGTACTGGATTCCACTACTAGCCACTATTTATTTTTGCCTATTTATATGATTTGTTTTTGTTATAATTAACTTATACGATATAAAAATCTAATTAACACCTCAAGTGAATGTAAGAAGTTTATAAATTATTCAGTCAGTTTGTTCATACTACTTAAAACTCTACTTTACTTTTTCTTGATTTCATTTATATAGCATAAATTTAGCTATTCAATAGCATAGATGATGGAATATTTAAGACAGTTTTGTGTTTATTGATTGATTTAGAACAGTTTTATAACATTCTATAGTAAGGGTAAAGAGTTTGCAGTTTATTTTTATTTGGAAAGAATGTATTTCTGCTTCAGGTAACCTTCAATTTCTTACGAAATATAAAACCTTGAAGGTCAGTTTTGAAAATCGGGAAGTATTGGAATATATGTCTTGTCCTATTTTAAAACTGTAAATAATTAAGAATCATAGACCCTACACAATATAAAAAATAGGACAATCTAATCTTATATTGAATGCAGTAATACCGCTAGATCATCGATTGTGAATCTAATAATTCGTAATTTAAACTGAAATCAGTTCCTGATATTATTTAAATGTTATTCAGTGATGTGGGTGATATCTATGTTATTGTTGATACAGGTGAACTCCGTCGGTTACACAGTTGGTTTTTTGTGGCAATAAATCAATGAAGTTTAGTCATATTCTCAAAAGTCTACTTAGGCATTAATATGTGGAATTCAAAACTTTTTTTTCTTTGAATGTATATACTTGTGGTAATTTGTAAGTTTGTGGTTAGTAAAGGCATGACCAAACAATATATTCTAATACTTCCTTTCGTTATGTGATTTCTTTTTTTAAATTTATTTTATTCCACCCAGTGATAATCCAGATGTAGATGTTTTGGGTTCAAATTTGTACAATAATTTTTTACGTCGATTTCGTCATGTTTCCGGTGGTGACAAGTCTCCAACGGAGGGACATAGTCAATATAAAAAAGTGTCAGTAGCACAATCACGTACTGTACCACCGAATGCAGCGTTTCTTCCTCAAACTGCTAAAGGAATTGACTGTAAGTTGTGTTTTGACAAAGTAATGATGATTTATTTTTAAAATCAAATAAAATCAACTCACTAAACTCATAAATTTGATAGGTAAATTGAGTTAATTCATAGTATTGAGTTTTATGTTTTGTAGTAAAATTGTTACAGTCTCTATGATTGTTGGAAAATTTCTTCGACTATATTCAAACGATAATTTAGGAAGGGAATTAAATGTAATCTTAGCTTTTCATGAATGCTCTGTATGATAACTTTCTTAATTTATTGGTCATATTGTGGTATGTGCTACTGATGTCGATAGATATAAGTAGTATGTATCATCGATCAAAAGTAAAATAACTGGCACCACAAGGTTAAGAAGATAATACAAAAGAGAACGAGAATAAAGAATGATTGCTGTGAAAATAAGAGGACAGTGAATTCTGAGACGATTGATTGACATTTGCATAAGGAACAGTCAAGTTTTAGACAATTGATTAACAATTCGCAAATGAAGTATTTACTGTACGGTTCTCAGATTTTAGTCAAGAATTCTGTAATGTCGTGTCCGAATTGTTGGTTTTCCCTCACTTGTGTTCTCGTTCACTACAGTATCTATCCTTATCCGCTCTGTCATAAAACAATAAGCGGTTATTTAAGCAATTTTATGTTCATGTACATTCAATTGTACCCATTTATGTTCTCTTTCACTACAATATTAGTGCTACGGTAGAGAGGTAAAGAATGATAATAGTTAGTTTTCATCGTTTAGCATAGGCTTTTCAATACAGCTCACTGAAAAAATGGGCTGATAATACATAAGAACACTTAATATGTTAAAAAATTGAACATCTAACTAGACTTTTCTTTAATTTTGTTTAATCTGTCCTTTTTTCTCTACTCTAAAAAGCTGTATTAGTTAGAACTGGAGTATATAAACCAACAGAAGGAACAAGAGTACATTATTGTCATCGTGATTTTCAAGGTGCAGCTGATCTTGTTTTACCAACATTTGAAGTTGAAGATTGTCTTGAAGGTGTTCAATTAATTTTAAATTTACAAAAATTTCATCCTGATAAACAAATAGCAAAATAAATACAAAAGAACAATGAATTTAAACCTTATGTCAATCTATTTGTTTAAATAACTTGACAACAAGTTATTATCATTGTTTAAATTTTTTTTTTTGCAAAACATCACTGATTCTAGTTCAAAATTTCCTGTTCCTAAGGGATTATTCTAAATAAAAAAAAGAAACAATATTAATTGTATAAACTATATATTCAATGATTGATTATTTTTTTTGGTGTACAAGTATTTCCTTATCTATATTTGGTCATTATTACTAGTCATATTATCATTATTATTGATATTTCATTGTTTGTCTCTGTGACAACATATAAGTGAAATTCTTGGATCATTTTAAACAAATTTCTTTGTTTTACAAGTTACCTTTTTGTCTTGTATTCCATTTAACAATTTCCTCTTTATTATCTGTTACTTGTTATAAATAAGAAATAAAGTAGTAAAACAAAGTTTGTTCATCGTTTATAGTATGTAAACTAAATAGAATAAAAATTTTAATAGATCAGAAGGGGTTTTGTGGAGATTTCAATAATTTCAAAGTTGAAATCATGAGTCATTTGAAGCTAGACCATCATGGAAAACCTGAAAACATTGGACGGCCGTTTCGTTCTATTATGGGACTCCGCGATCCTGCCTCGTGAGATTCGAACCCAGAACCTACCAATCTTGTGCAAGAGCACTAAACCAACAAACCACTGAGCTGGCCAGGATCCAATGGTGCTAATGTCTAACATCAATCAATCCACAAAATCTGAGCAACCGTTCACCAATTGTCTTCAGTGAGTTGATATCTCTACAACACACGTGGTTGAACTCCACTGGTCACTGTGAGGCGGGATCGTGGATGAACACTGCTGAGGAACCCCATAATAGGACGAAACGGCCGTACAGTGCTTCCAGGTTTTCCATGGTGGTCTAGCTTCAATTGACTGATGATTCCAACTATGAAAAAATTGTTAATGTTGATATGACTCATATAGAATGTTAACTTAAATCTGTATATATGTTAGGCGAAAATGTTAAGATCTGTGATCAGAATAAATACGGATCAGATAGGGTAAGAGAGAAATGATAGTGCAATTACAATTCGATCGAGTGGAAGATTAAATTCTGTGAAAAATTAGTAAGACGTAATAAGGAGGGATGAATGCGAAGTGAATGAATCATATATGGGGGAGATTAATAATGATGTACAAGATTTGTGAATAAAGATAACAGAGACAATTACATTTGACTACGAAAGGTAGTAAGTACATAGTCAAATTAGGTCATCCGATAGCTAGGATTACTATTGAATAATTAGCCTTGTGGTTGGCCAAGGGAAGAGCAGGGGTTAGAGATATTTATTCTGTACGCATAACTCCGGTTTCATCATCCTGATGGCTACTGCCTCAGTCTGGCCATTTTTTTGGTTTATTAATTTAGATTATGTAATTGTAGAACCTGTAGAGAATTTATCGAAAAGAATATTCTTCGTTCAAATATTAGTCTTTAAATAAGATGGGGGATCTTTAAACGATTAAAAAGTTTGTTCAGCATAAATTAACTATAGATAAGAAACAACTTTATCCATTTTGTTCATCTTATTCATCATTATTATTTTATCCTTTGATTTGGTTTATATTACAATAAATAATCCCAAGAATGTTGATGATGTTAATATAAGTAGTATATCCATTGAAAGTAAACATTTATTTAATGAAACAATAAAATAATGTTTTTATTTTGTTAGAAATTTGACTAGAAATATGAGATTGACAATTTATCTATTTTTATCACTAAGGTGTTGATCCTAGGTTCGAATCCCGTAGGACGGGATCCTGAATACGCACTGCTGAAGAGTTCCATACTAGGACGAAACTGTCGTCCAGTACTTCCAGGTTTTCCATGATGGTCTAGCTTTAATTGACTGATGAAGTGTAGTTAGCAAGTTTCAATTTCTAAGCTAAAAATAAATAAATAATTCTTGATAGCATGGGATATCAATACTGTTTGATGCTATAAAAAATATAAGTTAGTTATACAGTTTCTAGAAAAATGACAATCAGTCATTTTGAGTATTTTTTTCACTGTCTCAGTGTTGTTTCTACACTTATAAGCTACTAATAATTAGTAAGAGGGAGTTGTGGAGATTGACTCATGAATTCAAGTGTTAAAAATATTTTTTTTACTAATTAATGGATGGATTGCTTTGACGAAGTTATTTGACTGATATTGACTTATGATAGTGTATCCTCAAGGTAGGATATGTTTTTGTTGTAATTTGATTTATATTTGAGAGAAACGAAGTTTGTGTTGTTAGGTAATATGGAAAGTGATTAAAAATGTTATGCATAACGAATAATTCATCTTATCTATTGTTTGTCATACAAATGTGTCTGCATTACAATAATCGGTAATCATACTGAAACTTGAATCCAGTATCCCATGTTGTAAACATTTAAGTGGTATCCAGTAAACTATTGAGTCACAGTAGCCAGAATTTTCACCAATGGAAACAAATCTATAGTGAACTATGATCTAAAAATAAGGTCAATTTGTTAATGCAATCACTGTATATCAAATTACTCAATTCAAAGAATTCATTTATCGACAAATATGGATTAAAATATATCTTGAATAGAATAGCTAGTCAAATTAATAATTATAATGATATAACTAGATGTTCTGGTATACACATTTCCTTTATTTGATTACTTGTTGAACAGAAAGTACCTACTATCTTCCTTTTCCAATATTTTCTTAATAATCAGATTTTATCGATCACGTTACCATGTGACTACCAGTCTGAATAACCAGTATATCTGAACTTTTATAGAAGATAACGCATGATTGAACGTACGAATAGCCTACCTCATCAGTGTGTCCTAAAAAGCATAAAACTAGTATTCAGGAGTTTCTACTAATTACTTATAACCGTCTACTGTATGTTCCTTACACATTTGTCCATTAAATAATGTAAAATACCACCGTACATAGAATAACTGTGATGCTATTAATTTATTTGGATAGATGATACGTTGAACAAGTGCACATAGATATCAGCAATATAGAGCCCGGTACAAACGTGCTTAAATATATAAATTAAAACTAAATGTTTATAGAACAGTACTTTTTCTTCAATATAACTGTGATGATCTGTAAAACTATTGATATTGCAACTTGTTTTGACTATGAACGCAAATAATAACTTATTACTATACAGCTGAACGAAAACGAATACTGCTTAAATTTTGATTGATAACATAAAAAAGAGATCATAAATTGCAATGGGCTGTAAGGGATTGTAAATATCCTGTTAGAACTGAATGTAGTTAACATAAATTATTCAATAATTTAATGTACATTTCTGGTCTACATAATTCATAAATTCACAGTCTTAGGTGAGACATATAATGGTGGGTGGTGGCTCAATTTCGTGGAGTGGTTGAAGTTAGATATTAATACCGTTGGATACCAACTCAGTGGTTTACAAGTTAAACGTTTACTCATGAGACCGATAGGTCTTGGGTTGAAGTCTCTCTCGCGAGATGGTGGATGCGCACTGTTGAGGAGTGCAACACTAGGATGAAACGGCCGTTCAGTGCTTCCAGGTTTTCCATGATGGTCTAGCTTTAATTGACTCATGAACTGAGCTATTAAATTACTATAATATCCACAAAACCCCTTTTCAGATAATTAAATCACTGAATTATATATATATATATATATTAACATTAACAATCATGCTTACAGTAAACAGAAACTTTTTATATATAGTTGAAATCATGAGTCCATCGAAGCTAGACCACCATGGAAAATTTGGAAGCATTGGACAGACATTTCGTTCTATTGTGGAACTCCTCAGCAGTGCACATCTACGATCCCGCCTCCCGAGATTCCAACCCAGGACCTATCAGTCTCGCTCAAGAGCACTTAACCGATAGACCATTGAGCCAGTCAGCATCCAACGGTGTTAATGTCTAACTTCAACCAATCCACGAAATTGAACGACACACCCTGTGGGACAGGATCTTAGATGCGCACTGATGAGGGGTCCCACATTAGGACAAAACAATTGTCCAGTGTTTTCAGGTTTTCCATGGTGGTCTAGCTTCAATTGACTCATGATTTCAACTATATAGTAAATAGAAACGTTTAAAGAATTATAAAACCCCTAATCAACTCACTGATCATAATTGGTTATTGATCTAGTTTTTCGAGAAAATTTTTTATGTATCACTTACTTAATAACTTGATTGTTTTCTTTAAAAAAAAAATTTGTATTTACATTTATGTTCATTTCTAATAATAAAATAATTTTTTTTGTTTTGTTAGAATTTTTGACTAGAAATATGAGATTGATCATTTATCTATTTTTATCACTAAGGTATTGGTTACTATTACATTTTTTTTTAAATTTTTATATAAATTGACTGATATGATCAATTTTTTTTTCCTTTTGAATAAAATTGAATAAATTCATCAAGTATTGTTTGTTTGAATCTTCCCATCAATGTGTTAGGATTGTAACTGGTCAGTCTCTAATTGGTATATGTGCATACTGTGTGTATTATCTCAATATAGTCTTAATTACAGTAAATAAGAACTTTATTATATAAAAAACCAAATGTACAAATAGTTTCTAACCAAGTTATCAACGATTTATTTTACTTAACATAGAAAAAGTGATATTTAGCTGAAAACGGGAAAAAATAAAGAATACACACACACACAAACCCCGAAAAATGTTGACAAAATTTATAAAACAAAAAAAACAAACAAACAAGCTGACAAACATTAAAAAAAAATTAAATAAAACATAACTCAGTTTGCCTAAAAGAAAAATCATGAAAAATCTATGGGAGCCAAACAACTGTTTAATTAATAATTAAACAGCTGATTCCCGCAACATCACATTGAATTTTATTACGAATATTCAATTCTATATATATTGATTAATAGTTTGTAAATTAACTGTTCACTGTATGGTTGTCAGATTTTAGTTAGATAGTCTACTTAGCTTTATA